CTTAAAAAAAAAAAAGAAAGCTGGACATGATGTATCAGGTGATGGGAATGGATGTAAATAGGCCTTCAGTGTGAGATTTTATGTTCATCTAGCTAGGAGTTGGGCTGTGCTTCATGTTTACTGTAGCTGTAGATGCCAGAGGCTTCAAATTCCTCTAATGTCCTTGTTTTTGTCTCCCTTGTTGTCTTTGGACTTCCCTAAGAACTCTTCCCTAAATAGTCTCTTTCAGCCGTAACCCATTGTTATTATACTGGATCCCGTGAAAACCTGGAGGAGTTCCTGATGCCAATGTCATGAAAGTGTCCCCACCCGAATCCCCATACATGCACACAAGACTGCAGCCCCTAGAAGTTTCTTATTCTCACAGTAGACTATACTCGGTCTCCAACAGTTAACCAAAATTACCAGTTAAGCGTTCTGACCAGTTTACGGCTCTAGCAGCTTCTGCTCCTGGTACGCAGACCTCAGGTGATTTTCTAGTCACCTGCCTCTCAAGATTCCAGGGTGGCAGTTTGCCCTACAGTCTCAATTCTCTAACAGATCCAAGAAGAGTCATGGATTATCAGTCTGTGCCGCTCTTTTCTTGTAGAGAGGGGAGTGGTGACCCCCAAGCTCTTTACATTTCAGAGCTGCAGCTGGAAGCAGCAGAACATCTTGACATCAGTTATTTGATAGGGTCATTTTTCACTCTGGAGACTTTTTGTTACTGCTGCATCAAAAGGTGAAAGCACTCTACTTTCTTATTGAGTGATGTATGCCCTGGATCCCTCTGACTTCACCACTCGCCTCCGCCCTAACTTATCCCCAACTTCCCCCTTCTCTGACTTCATTTCAAAGAGAAGGGAGAGAGGGAGCTCCGTTTTACCCACTTTTTTGATGATCAGACAGCTGAAAATAACCCATCACAAAATGACTTCAGTAAAGTGGCTGCATCAAAATATTATGTACCCTGAAAAAAACAGGAGGCAGAAAGGCTCAAATTTAAATTTTCTAATCCAGTCGTTTTCTTAATGGACATGTGAACTAGTTGAGATTGGGTCTTTGCCTCCTCTATCCTTACCTCAAATCTGCAGATTTCTTGAGCTTTACCACTTAATCTCTGGAGCCCAGTTCCTCTCCAGTGCTGAAGACCAGCCGGCAAGCCCTTTATCAGTGAACAGCGTGGCATTACGAGGCTCACCCTGGAGCAGGTGTGTGTGGCCTTACCAATAAATTATCAGATAAATCCCTTGGCATGGGTTCATTTTCCTTTTTAATAATATAATCATAAAAAATAGTCAGACTTATTGAGCATTTAATACGGCCAAAAACTGTGTTACTTGCTTTACATATGACTTATCGCACTTATTCTTCACTACTACCATTTGAAGTAGGAAAACTACATATCAGAGAAAATAAGTGACTTGCCCAGGGTAAAGGCAGAATTCAGACTGAAATCTATTATTTAAATTAGGTGCTTTCCCTAATCTGTTCCTTGCAGAGGCAGAACATAAGTGCATAATAAATGTCATTAGGGTTATCTCTAACTTGGGAACAGCTGTTTGCAAGTCCAGATTAGGCAGATAACCCATCAGTTCTCCTGAGTACAGGTCCCCCACTAGCTGTGATTCCCTAAAGGCAAGGACTATAATCCATTCACTACTGAGTCCCCAAAGCAGTGACCCTAGTAAAGCAAAAATGCTCATTGGCAACATGAATGAATGAGGATGTGAATAACTTCATGAGCCTATGAATGAATGAGTGAACGAACTAATGAATGTGAATGAATAAATGAAGCAACTCTCAGCATATAATCAGTGCCATAGGAAAAAACCTTTTGAAGCATCATCTACTCCCAGGATCTTCACTGATATCAGACTAGAAGCTCCAATGGGGCAGGGGATTGGTCTTATTCATCAGGCTATTACTAGCTAAGTTAGGACATGCCTAGCACATACTAAAATTCCAATAAACTTTTGTTCTTTTTGATGGACTGACTTATCAGAGGCACTCCCTTCAAGAATAAATAGCCCTGCTCTCTGGAGAATGGCTGACAGTGGTTCTCTTCCTCACCCTACGGCTTCTTTTCTGGATAACTCCCATCTTCTCCCTGCCTACTTCCTCTTCCCGGAATAGGTATATTTATTGTTATAAGCACCATTCTTCACTGCACCCTTCCACCTGATTCTTTCTTAAATCTGATTAGCACATGTTCATCAGAGAAACACTGTAAAGGACCTATTTGAATTAGAATCCTGCACCGTTACTGTTGGAAGGGGCTTTGAGATCATGTGTTTTTAGAGAGGAGAATGAGGACGTGTAAACAAGTGGTCCAGGCTCAAAGACAAACATGGAGGCCACTTCTCCTGCCTCTCAGTCCCATGCTTGGGGTTGCCCACAGCACTGCCATTTCCATACTGCCTTCATATGTTCGAGTTGGCCCCATCAGAGCAAGAATGGTAACAGAACAGTAAACTCAACATACACCATATCGTCGGCCCTAGTTTTTTTGTTCTATTTTGTGCTTTTGGTTTTTTTTATTAATAATACACATAGAATTAGAAAACACCCAAAAAACCTGACATGAGAAGCTCGCCATCACCACCTTCTGGCCCACCGCCGGCAATGAATCCAAAGGCAGCTCACTATGGGTCACGTGAATGAAAACTGATCACGCAGGGGTTTTAAGTTAGAGGTCGCCCTCCTCTAACGCTGGAAAGCTAAGTTGTGGTGTGAAGCAAGAATGTTGAATCTAAAACCCTGTGTTGAAAAAAAAAAACAATCATAGAACTTGGACTTTAATCATAAAGATCATTTTACCAAAGCATATTTTTAAAAGGCTATGAAACATTATGCAACGTTTGCATGGTTTAATTATGAGTTTAGAAAAGCCTAGCACAACTTTTTCACTACAGTAAAACATGACAGAGCATGAATCATGGCATAATACTTTATGCTTACTGTGGTTTTAGACATGGGGTTAGGGGTGCTGGGTTGTCTACACAGCAAGTCTTGAATTACTGAACCACAATTCACACCCCAGAGGGCTTTATGACAATTATAAAACCTCTTTTGTTTGCTTCTTAAATGATTAAAATATTTGAGTACTATATACTCACCTAGCAAATGTGTATAGCTAGGACATACGCAAGTCTTACAAAAATATCTGAGTCTATAATTTATTTTTCACTTGGAGGAAAACCCTTGTAGTAAAATGAGAATATTGAACAATCTGCTGTTTTGTTCTTTGCTTTCAATTATTGGAAACACTGTCGCCTGGAAGGCTGTGCAGGATCTTTGACTATAGCTGATCATTCATTTCCACTGAGTTTAGAATGGACCAGCTCTTTTATTCCTTGCCTTCTGTTCAATTCCCCAAAATTCAGAATGGAATGAGGACCCTTCTTTAATATTAGATTTCAGAGATTCTAAGTTAAAATATTTGCCCAGATTTTCCAAACTTAAAAATTGAGTTATTTTTAACGAAAAGAAAGAAATCGATCCACATGAGGGACAGGGGGAGGGGGCAGGCAGGCAGAAGACCCGGGGATCCAGGTGGATCTCCAAACCCCTGATTCTGTTATCCACTCTGCCGGCTTCGAACAGATAAACAGAAACAGCAAACTTGAACTTCTGGAAATGAAAAGCCCCTGGAGGAATGAGAACTGAATATTTCACAACGAGTAGGAAGAACTCACTTCTTTACATCCTGGCACATACACAGCCTGCATCCCATATTTTCCTGAGGATCGTTGCTCTTTCTAGATGTACTCCCAGCATCACGCAGCCCTGGCTATGAAGACCCCTGGGAACTAGCGTAGTCCACAGAGAATGTGGGACACAAAGAGAAAATCAATGTTTAACCCTAAAGAAATGGAGGCTATCTTGTGGGGGGACCATGTCCCATTCAACTTTTTTACACGTATTGCCTGAGATTAGAGAGTTTGTTCATTTTTTCTTCTCCTTTTCATCTGCAATGGGATGCTTTTGAAAACTAAGACTCCTATGAATGCTGGAGTCAAATTTACAAAATCCTTTTTACCTAAATCTTCTGAAGTCAGAGTTTTGTCTCTTCTCTATCCCAGTCCTCATTTAATGGCCATCTATAAAATACTTGCTCAACATTCTGCCCTTTAAATGTTGCAGACTTGAGGTCTTGAAAAGGTGCGGGACACCTGTCAGTCTGGGGTGGTAGAGCCAGCTCTCTATGCTGGGCTTGTGAACTAATCCTCAGGCCTCATCACCAGCTTCCCAGCCAGACCTTCTTTTCTAAATTCCTTGGGAGACAATTCACCTAAATAGAGGATATTTAAAAGCCCTTGGGATATTTTTGCCAAAGGTACAAAAAAACAAAAAACAAAAAAAAAACCCTCTATGTTCTTTTTCGCTTACTGAGTACAGATGGATAGGTGATCGCCTGAGTTTATAAAATGTTTCTGAGGATGAGAATTGTAACTCTTGGTAAAGCTGATATTGTCTGGGCAGTTGAAACGTGCTGTAGTTCAACAGGTGAGCATTAACAATTCTACCTGGAAAGCATATTCAACTTCTCCTATCATTATTAGCATGATTAAATCAAACCTCCAGAAGGAACAGTTATCGGAGGAAAATCTTCAAGAATCGCACACAAACTGTATTTCAGTATCTTTGTGGGAGGGATGGAAATCATCAAACAAAATCAAATACTTGGACTTACTAAACACTGGTCAACAGGCCACAGACATGTATAACGTATTTAAACAAAGGTGACTAGGGGTGCCTGGGTGGCTCAGTCGTTAAGCGTCTGCCTTCGGCTCAGGTCATGGTCCCAGGGTCTTGGGATCAAGCCTCATATCGGGCTCCCTGCTTCTCCCTCTCCCACTCCCCCTGTTTGTGCTCTCTCTCTCTCGCTGTGTCTCTCTGTCAAATAAATAAATGAAATTTTAAAAGAGAAAAAAGGTGACTAGCTTTTTATTAAAAAAATTTTTTTTCTTAAATCCCACCCCACTCTACGTATGACTGACATCCCTGATTCTCTGCAGACACAAGGCAGATCCAGCCATCCCCACCGTGGTCCTATGATCAGTCCTACCAATACCTGGGATCGATCGCCTCACCTTCTGTACACCCAGCAACACCCATCTCACCTGGACGGGCCAGTGGCATGACAACCCTCTCTGCAGAGCTTTCCAGTCGACTCACAAGTAAGTTGCTTGAACACACCCTTTGAAGTCGAGCTAGAGTGGAAGGTTCGAGAGACTGGAGATTCATGAAGGGGTTGGCAGTCATTCTGGGGGGTAAAATGTGGTTTAAAGACAAGGTTGTCTAAGTCCCATGTCCATGCACTGATTTTCCCTGACACCTAGAGACAGAGATTATGAATATGAAGGCAGAAGAGGATTCTTTGGGTATTTTGGGGTTGCTCATATTTAGCAGACAGAGGTAGCAGCTGATGGGTTAATAATATACAAGGCCAAAGGAATCAACTTCTAGAACTCAGGTGGGACTATCCATCTGACGGTGGTGAGTTTTCAAAGGTCATGTGAACAACACTGGGGTACCTGTGGAATGGGAGGCAGCTACACCCCAAATGAGACATTTCAAACTAAGAGCTGTTCATCCCAGATTAGAGGAACAGAATGGAAAGCTCAGGTGTCGTGGTTAGCATAATTGTTGTTAATACGTGCTCATTAAATATTAGTCATTTAACCTATGAGACCTTTGGGCTTGGCACTCACCTTTGCTCGTGGGCAGGGAAATCGGAGGTAGAGAAAAATTCCTTTGTTGAAAGCAAAAGAAGAAACTAACTCCCTGCTTGGAGCTTTGAAATTGGAGCTGGACCAAACTGTGAAAATACTTAAGAGAACTTCAGCATTGTGAAGCCTGCAAACATACTTCATATGTGTCGGGGGGAGGGTGGTTGTCTTTGCTTTTCAGCTCTTGAGATCAGATTATAGTAGATTAGGGGGCAGGCGAAAGGGGCAAAGGCATCACATCTGCAATTTTAAATGTCATATAATGTGGTGTTTTCCAGACAGTTGTGATTACTTGAGATTTCACCAAATGCTTTAGCTTCTTCTCGGAGCTTCTCAACAACAGCACCATTTGCATCTGGGGCCAGAGAATTCTTTGTTGTGGGGGGCTGTCCTGTGCACTGCAGAATATTTAGCAACATCTCTGGCCTCTAGATGCAGCAACAGGCCTCCTCCCCAGCATCAAGACAACCAAAAATGTCTCCAGACACTGCCAGGTATCCAGAGGGCCCCCAAGCTGCCCCCCAGTTGAGAACCACCACCTTCGAGTATTCTTAGGCACTGTGGTAAAATGGGAAAGCCAACTTAGTTGTCCACTTTTTGCATTAATGCCAACATTGTCAGGGCACCTGCTGGGCTAAGGAGTTGAGGAAGTAGCATAAGAATGATGACGTCTGTTCAGCTTGTTGTTTCAGAAGTTCTGTTCCCTCAGGACCAGTTTGATTCCAAAGGCACTTGTCAACTTTTATTGATTCTTCTCAGTGGCACTGCTCTGCTCTCTACAACTAAAACAATTACTGTTTTCCTTGGTAATGTGCCTGCTCTGGGCCCCTTGGAATTTATTACGTAAGACTTTTGACTTGGTCAGCACCCAAGATCTGCACCTTATAGTTTCAAGAGCCCTCAGGGGGCAGCCGCTCCAACTGACCAGTGTTCAGATGTGAGGGTTACTTTTCCTTTTTTTAAAGGGAATCAGTAATGTGAGCTCCCAAGTCCCATGTAGCTGTTACACTTCTGAATAACCAGGACTTCAATTACCCAAGGAGTGGGGAAGGACGTTTTATGGCATGAGGGTGTGAGGTACACAAAAACCACGTCCCATTTCAGCGCCCAAGAATGATTCTCCCCTGTCATGGAGGGAGGGCAGGAGAGAATTTCAGATGAGCTTTCTCCAGTGGCTGGGAAAGGCATGGGAGACTGCTCTTCAACTTGGCAGGTCTCCCTCTGAGAAATCAAGCCTGGAGTGCTGGCCTGAGAAGCGTTGTCATATGCCTGGGGGCGGTAGGGGATTGCAACACATAAAAGCCAAGTGGCTGCCTGGCTGCCAGCCTTGAGAACCTGACACTGCTCTGCTCCTGCTTTTCCTTTTAATCCCGCCCCAGAGCTCTGTGTTCGGTCCCTCTCCCCGTCCCCAACCCCACCTGGACTTCCTTCTGCATGGGGGCGGGGGAGGGGGGGAACTTGCACTGTCTCTCTCTCTCTCTCTCTCTCTCCTTTGCAGACAGTCTCCACACCTTGTCTGAAAAGAGATGTCATCTGGAGGTTTTCCTTTATTTTTTTTTTCTTTAAAAAAAAATATTAATGTTTAGCTGCCAACCTGGGCGACAGACGGCATGCATTAATCTGAGTCATGCAAAATATCCTTTTAAGGCCACCATTATCTGCTCAGGCTGTTTAATCCTTTGGGGGCAGTGGGAGGGGCTGGAATGGGACAGCTTTCATCCATGTCAAGTTGTAGAACGAACACTTGAGCTGTCATGGCAAATATTTAGCGCCATTGGTGGGGAAACATTTCCAACTAAAATACCTGAACCTCCTAATCCCCAGATTTCCTACTCTTTAAAAGCTCCCTGTGACTATCAGGCATCCCCACCCCCACCCACTATGGAATAGGGGGGCACCAGGCCAGCCCAAAGGACAAATGGGCGACGGACAGGTGGGGTGAATGGTGCGTGACCGTGGGGCTTGGTAGGAAATGTCAGATGGGACATAAAAATGGAAACAAATATTTGAATAGATCATTTGAATTGGAACATATCTAGAGGGCTGAAGCTCTTTTATTATCAAAATATGCGGGAAAAGCTACTTTCACCAAACAGGTGGTCTTTTGTCCAGTGGCACTGGTGCCATGTAGATAGAAAGAGAATCACGGGCAGCACTGAAGATCTTTCAGATATTCTGCCCACAAGTGAAAGAACTATTTTCCCCTGACAGCTGAGACCATAACATCATTCCATTACTTATGTCCGTGACCAGCCTCGGACTCACTCGGGATTACGGTAACTTGGTACCATCACCACATTACCATGTAGTCGTTGGAACAGTCTGGCAGAGCATGTCCAGACATCGCCATGAAACAGGGTGACCTTTCATTCATTTTCCAGTGGATTCACCTTTTTGTCTCAGGGCAAATGAAGCAAGAGGAATACTGGGCGGAGTCATTAATTTGTGTCCAGAGTCTTGCATCAGATGCCAACAAATTGATTGTATTTGCCTAATGCTCTTCCTCCTACCTTGGCTTCTCCCTAGACTATAGAAATCTAACTGGAAAAATGGAGTCAAGCTTCCTGTCACAGCTCTCTGGGTGAGCAAAAACAAGTGACACAGAGCTTGCTCACAGACAGCCCCAGTAAGCGGGCAGGGACAAACTGTGTGGAATGAGGTGCGGTCTGGCTTCAGGACGAGCTAGAGAGTGGCCGTGGAAGGGCAGCCCCAGAACCACTGTCAGTTTACAACGTTTTCCCTGCCCACATGTCTGACTGGCTTTGAAAAGATTAACAGGAGTGTCTGTTTGAAAGTCAGACTCCTGGTTTCCTCATTAGCAGAGAGATTGGCTGCAGACTTTGGTTGTTTCTATAAACTTTAATTACCTCTCTGATGAGGAGTATATACCTCCTCATCACATTCACCCCAAATTTATAGAGGAATTCGGAGAGAGGAAAGGAGGAGAAGGGAGGGGGAGAAGGGGGAGAGAGGGAGAGAGAGAGCGAGAGAGAGTGGGAGAGAGACAGAGAGACAGGCAGAAAGAGAATGAGAACACTAGCTCTCCCTGCTGGAATAATAGGCTTGAAATATGAGGAAGTTGATCAACCCCGGATGCCTTCCAAAAACAGATTAATCCACCCTGGTAGCTTTCCTTTCAGAGCAAACTCTTGGCTCCATCAAGTTTCTCTATGGGCCTGAACACAAAAGGACACCAACCACATGCCATTCTGAGCTTGAAGTTATTTTGTATGTTGATTTGAGAACTTACAGATTTTAAAACATTTCATTCTTGCCTCTGCTATCTTTTGGGTTTGCTGTTGTAAAGAGTACGGTCCTGGCCCAGTATTTGATGAATAATTCTGAGGAACAGTTACCCCCAGGACACCATCCTATATTTACATGGTGGTTCTCAGTTGGGGCGGGGGGCAGAATTCTTGCCCCCCCCCACCCTACCCCCAGAACATTTGGCAGTGTCTCGAGACATTGCTAGTCGTCACAATGCGGGGTGTGGGGGCACCACAGACATTTGGTAGGCAGAGGCCAAGGATGCTGCCAAACATCCTACAATGCATGGGACAACCCCCCACCTCCCCAACAAATAACTATCTGGCCCAAAATGTCAATAGTACCACTGCTGAGAAACTGATCTACAGGACACAGGGAACACTTCCTGGCACCCAAAGCCCTAGTGGTTCCCAAGGGCAGCCTATGCTGAAGAAAAATGCAGAAGGATGCAATAAAGGCCGAAGCCAGTTTCTGAAACCATAAATGCAGAATCCTAACAAAATGAGTTTTACAGACAAAGCTTTGCCATTCCTGGTAAAATTTCAACATGTGCAAAAATGGAGTGGATAAATCAAGGCCCTGTGGCCATTTGTGTTAACAAATCAGTGAAGCACATGTGAGAGAATACCAGGTGACACTGAGGCCATATTTTTCTAAAAATGTAGAAGTACTTTATGTGGGAGACAAAGAGTGGTACTGATACTCACTGACATTCACTCAGTCACTGCTATGCCACACATTAGGTCGAATCATAAGAAATTGCCAATTTTTAATTGTTTGAGACCTACAGAAACAGCAGTTTCCTATGATTCAATCTAAATATTATGTATAATGTATTATAATGTTATTATATATTAATATTAAAACACAATATCATATTATGATATATTCTATTAATATTAATCTAGGGATGCATCCATTTCATTAGTATTACATAATTTTATAAGTTACACATTCTTACAATGATATTAATATCATAGATTACATTTATATTAATATTGGCATATTAATATATTGATTACAGAGGGCTGGTAAACTTTTTTCCATAAGCGGCCAGATACTAAATATTTTAGGCTTCCCGGGTCCTGTGGTCTGTGTCATGACGATTCCACTCTGCAGTGGTGGCTCATCAGCAGCTATGGTAATACTGAACAGGAGTGAGGCTCATTCCAGTGAAACTTTAGGCATGGCCACCGATATGGGAATTTCACATAATTTTCACGTCAGGAAATATTATGTCTTTTCACTTTTTTCAGCCATTTAGAAAAGTAACTCATTCTCAGCTTGGGGCCGTACAAAATTGGTGGTGGCCAGGCGGTCGCTTTGCCAACCCTGTAATTACATCGATATTATACCTGTTTTAACTATACATAGTATGTGTTACGTTACATTGTATTACAGTCTATTATATTGTAATGACATTGTAGCCTACCCCACCTTACATTCCGTGAAGCCCCGGATTACCACCCTCTCTCATGGCAGAGCATCACACCACCTCCCTGCCCACTAGCATGCTGAGTAGGCGGCGCCCTCGGCTCCCAGGGCAGCAGCCCTCTGGGTAATCCTCCTGTGGGCGGGCCGCGGGCGGGAGGGGCGTGGCCTCCCCTGCTCCAGCCTCACGCTCTTTTCTCGCTCGCCCCCGCAGCGGCCCCCGACCTGACGGCCTTCGGCGACCCGCGCCAGTTCCCCGCGCTGCCCTCCATCTCAGACCCTCGCATGCACTACCCCGGCGCCTTCACCTACTCCCCGACGCCCGTCACGTCGGGCATCGGCATCGGCATGTCGGCCATGAGCTCGGCCACGCGCTACCATACATACCTACCGCCGCCCTACCCCGGCTCGTCGCAGGCACAGGGCGGCCCCTTCCAGGCCAGCTCACCCTCCTACCATCTGTACTACGGCGCCTCAGCCGGCTCCTACCAGTTCTCCATGGTGGGCGGCGAGCGCTCGCCGCCGCGCATCCTGCCGCCGTGCACCAACGCCTCCACCGGCTCCGCACTGCTCAACCCCAGCCTCCCGAACCAGAGCGACGTGGTAGAGGCTGAGGGCAGCCACAGCAACTCGCCCACCAACATGGCGCCCGCCGCGCGCCTCGAGGAGGCCGTGTGGCGGCCCTACTGAGGGCCTCGCGGCGGCCGGGCGACAGAAGCGCGCCTGCCCAGGCCCAGCCCTCGCCGGGGAGAGCCCGCGAACGCGGGGTCCGCGGCCGGCGCTGGGGAGGGGGCGGGCCCCTGCGAACTGGGTTCTGGGATCTAGCTCCGGTCTGCGCCCCCCCTAGGCCCTAGGGCCGCCTAGCCCCCCGAGGCCGTACGGAGCGCCTGAGCGCCGTCACCGTGGGCCTGGCTCACCTTTTCCGAAGCTTGACCCAACCTGAGGGTGTCCGTCTCGCCACCACGCGGACGCGTCGTAAGGCAAACAGGAAGATTCCCAGAGGGAAACTGTGAATGCTTCTGATTTAGCGATGCTGTGAATAAAAGAAAGATTTTATACCCTTGACTTCACTTTTTAACCAAGTTGTTTATTCCAAAGAGTGGAATTTTGGTTTGGGAGGGTGCAACTCCTCTTGTTTGGTATCTAATTCATATTTTTTAATTTTCTTTTCCAGCACCTTATGAATTGCAAAATTCGTATTTGCATTTGGGGTGGTTTTTATTTTTATATATATATAAATTTGAGCTTGCTTCTTTCTTGCTTTGACAATTGAAAGAAATATGATTCCTTTTTCTGTAAGTTTTATTTAACTTTTCTTTTGGACTTTGGTGTAGTTGTTTTTTTTGAGAAACAGCTACAGCTTTGGGTCATTTTCAACTACTGTATTCCCACAAGGAATCCCTAGATATTTATGTATCTTGTTGTTTAGACACTTACTTATGTGTTGATACTTTTTTTATTATTTAAATGTACTTATATTAAGAAGAAAAATATCAAGTACTACATTTTTGTTTTTGATAGTAGCCAAAGTTAAATGTATCACATTGAAGAAGGCTGGAAAAAAAGGATGGGCAATGTGATGACTTGGTTATCTAAATATTGTTTACATTAAACTCCCTTTCATGTTAATCAAACGAGTTGGTAGCTAATGCAGCAATCTTTTTAATATGCTTTTTAGATACTGAGGGTCACTTGAAGGATCTGAAGTATGGAATTTTCTGCCAAGCTCAACAAAGGGTCTCATATCTGACTCCCTCCCTTCAAACAGAGAAGGTCAAGTCTGGTTCCAGGAGGTTCAGATAGATGCCAATGATTGCACCTCTGGAGAGGATTTATTTTCTGCCTAGGGGTTTGCTTCCTCCATGGGCTCTTGATAATTTCAGACATGCTTTGTAACCATTGAATCCAAAGTAAGCTATGTGGAAGAGCAATATCCACATGGGAACCGAATGAACGGATTTATGGGTTCTTTAACTGCTCCCTTCTGGGGGAGTAAGGAGATGATCTGAATCCAGAATTCAGATTTTTTAGCTCCAAGAAAATACTCCTATTTGATACAGTACCTGTTCATTGATGCAGAACAAAACTTGTGGCTGTCCCCCAAGGCTGGGAGTAGAAGAAACTAGACCTGGTGCTTTTGATGCCTGAAAGTCTCCAGCTCAGTTTTCATAGGGTGGGCTCAGAAGCAGAGCTGAACAGGACAGTTTACATCTGTGTGCCTCCATGGTGTCACATGGGAAAGTACTGTCCCACCTGTGCCGGACTCCATCCCATGCTGCTCATTCAGCACCCAACTTTGCATTGCTTTCACCAGGCTGAGACCCTACCTAATGGGGTGTGTGCACTTTTATGCGTGCATCTGCATGACAGGAAAGATTCATGTCACTGCTGCCCATGGCTACAATTCAAAAGTATCCAATGTCACTGTAAATTTTATGGCACTATTTTTGTTGGAGAATTTGGTCAGAATGCAGTTGTACAACTCATAAATACTAACTGCTGATTTTGACATATATGTGCTCAAAATGATCTGGTTGTTATTTAATGTACCTCTTAAATTAGTTGAAATGATTTCAGGTCAACTCTGAAGAGTATTTGAAAGCAGGACTTCAGAACAGTGTTTGATTTTTATTTTATAAATTTAAGGATTCAAATTAGAAAGATCTTTGGCTGCAGGCAGCAAAACAGCTGGTCTTATTTAAAGCAACTTGTTTTTGAGTTTTCTTATATATATATATTGATTATTTGTTTTACACAGATGCAGTAGCACTTTGGTAAGAATTAAAATGTAAAACAGTTTGTGTTGTCAGTCAGGTCATTCTTATCTAGAAAAGAGCTAAAACAGATCTTGGAGAAACTCAGAGTATATTCACTTTCATTTTAGACATGATTCTCTCTCCATGATTCAATTTGATGTTTCATTCTATATTACATTTTTGCAGCAAAATTACCCTTAAATGTCAGTAAATTGAAAATTTTTATTTTTGAAAAGGACCTTTGGTCCCTTGACCCCAAATCGAACCTAAGTGTTCTTTTCAGCACATGTTGCCATATCTGACCTGACAAAACGATGGGGGAAAATGAAGGAAAAAAAATTATATTTTCCAGTTCATTTCTGGTACCTGAAGATATTCCAGCTCAAAACCAGCCTAATGCCCTGGAAGGGGATCAGACAGTGCTTCACATTGAATCTTCACTCTCAAAGACATGTATGATGAGGGCTTGTCACTTTGTTGGAGACCCACTGGTCTGGCCAGTCAAGGGTTTCACAGACCCTTACCAGCATATGTAGTACTTAATCATCCCAGAAAAAATTAAATAAAACTTCAGTTGTTTTGGAGATAGGCCTCATGTCACACTTAATGCTTTTTTCCTCCCTGGAGAAATAGCATTCATTGCCTTCAGGTAAATTAAGGTGGTCCTTCAATCAAGGAGACCTTTAAGCCAATAATGTAATAACTGGATGTATCTGGGAGCATTGGTCCAAGAGAAGAAAGACTAAATAAGCCATTTCTACTGCTTGTTCATGCCTTTATTTATGTCAACATGGACATGTATTTTAATTCTTTTTGGTTTTCTTGCTATATTTCTTATATGACTTATATTTCTTATATGACTTACATTTCTTTCTTTCTCTGACCCCCTAATATCTCCCTCTGTTTCTCTTCCCTTCCCTCCACCAAGCCTCTCCTCCCTCCTCCATTCTCTCGCTTTATATAAGGAGACAGCACACACACACCCCCAACTTCACACCAAATGTCCAGAACACGAGGAGCTGCAGGTCTCCTCCCTTTACATAAAGGAGCATGGTGAGTCAGCCTTTCTCCTGCTCGTTGTGGGTTTCTTCCAGCAGAACAGAGACATTGCCAACCATTTTGGATCTGCTTGCTGTCCAAGTGCAGCAACAGAAGCCTTCCTGGACAAATTACAATCAGTGAGTTAATAGACAGCCTTTCTGCTGCCTCGCCATTTCTGTGCAGATAAACAGAAATGCTCTGATTGGAAAGGAAATGAATGGTTTCACTCAAATGTCCTACAATTTAGGATTGCAGGTTTCTGTCCTGAAAGACCTGCTTCCTTAGGACATTCCGTCCTGGTGATTTTTGTTTCTGGTGGTTGTTTTTTCTGGGGGTACAACATGTTTGGGGTCTTTTATACATGAAAAATCAGTTAACAATAATCTCAGAAAACATTTTTTACATCTGAACAAAATGCCTTTTTGTTTACCTACAGTATACAATTGTTTGGGGTTTTTGTTTGTCTGTTTGGAGTTTTTCCCCTCCCTTTAGCCAGATCAGAATTGATGAGGCTGATCATTTGGCATTTTTTTTTTCCTTCCAGAAGAGTTGCATCAACAAAGTTAATTGTATTTATGTATGTAAATAGATTTTAAGCTTCATTATAAAATATTGTTAATACCTGTAATAACTTTTTTCAATTTTTTTGTGTGTGTTTCTAAGGACTTTTTCTTATGTTTGCTAAATACTGTAGACAAAAAATGCTTCTTTCTACTTTGTTTATTTTAGACTTAAAAATGAGCTACTTTTTATTCACTTTTGTAAAGAGCTAATAGCATGGTTCCAATTTTTTTTTAAGTTCACTTTTTGTTCTAGGGGAAATGAATGTGCAAAAAAAAAAAATAACTGTTGGTTATTTGCGCTATTCTGGATGTATAAAAATCAATGGAAAAAAATAAACTTCCAAATTGAAATGACAGTAAAACACATCTATTGAAAAAGTAACAATGGGAATTGCAGTCCTACTTGGACAGGCCCCACCTAGTGTCTATTTGTGTAGCAGTTACTGGATCTGTTCACAAAGCATCCTGGAAATTTGTGTGTGCTTTCTTTCTCCCTGGTACTGACATATTGAATACTTCCCAAAAGGGAACTGTCAATCTGGAGGTTTAAACCAGATACGGTATGAGAGAACACCCCCCACCCCAAGTCCTCTCCAAGGTGTTTCCAGACAGTGCAGGAGAGCAGGCACTCCATCGTGTGTGGTCTACTGCTCAGAGTCAGGGTGGCTGCCCCCCCCCTCTGCCGGGAGCTTTCCCATGCCCAGCCTGTGCAGGGCAGCTGGACTGCTGCTGCCCAGGAGCCACTGGAGCCTTACTTTCTTTGTACCACAGTTTCTTCTGTAAATCCAACATTATCACTAGTGAATGGCAAATAAACAGTTTGGCAAGTACATACACCATAGCACACTGGTGTGGTCTTTTTCTGAGATGGAGGGGCTAGGAAGCCAAGTAAAACCACTGCAACACACAGGAGAACACCTTCAAGCGAGCTCTTCACGGGCTCGCCAGGCTTCAGGCTGACATCTGTGCCTTCTCCTTCCCATGCGTCCCACACCGCCTGGCTTCTGAGACCAGGACGGCCCAGGTAAAGCCCAGGCTCCCGGTGCTGACTCTCTGGGTATAAAGGAGCAATGAAGCATGCTTTCATGTCTGTATAAAAAAATAATAATGATAATAATTCAAAAGAATGACGTGAGATTTGCAAACACGAAGTGGAAAGGGTGGATGTTCAATAGGAGGCCAGTCACCATCCCTGGCCTCCATTTCTTTAAATCACGGGAGTCAGCCTTGAGCTGTGATGGGGAGTTTTTTTAAAGTTCTTCCCTCACCACCCCCACGGTGCCAAGCATTATTCGTAGCTCGGCCTTGAGACTATGTGAAACAAGTTACCTCCTGGCCAAGAGTCACCAGCTAACCCTCCTTCACAGTTCTTGTCATTGCCTTTTCAGGGTCTCCCATGGTCTTCAGGGTGGCCACAAAGAATGTCAGGAACCCACGCAAGTGGGATCAAAAGAAATGACTGACCGGGAAAGTCATGGTTAATGAGCAGAGGCAAGAAGTGGGTGGGAGGATCAGGTTATATGTGTTCAGAAAGGGAACCTCGTGGAGCCGCTGCGTATGTCTTCAGGAGCCAGACTGCCTGGGTTTGAGTTCCAGTTCTGCCTCACACTGGGCAACAAATTAAACCAGTGGCCTCGCTCTTCTCACCTATAAAAGAGAGACACTAATGCTATCAGTTAGGAGATCTAAATAACTTAACATATGTGAAACGTTGTATAAAGCGTTGGCACATAATACATTCTCAATAAATGGAAATACACAGAACAATACTGCTCATTATTAACAACATAAACAGCTTCAAATAAAAAGCTAAAATGCTTTCTACTTCTCCCAATCCATGCCTTGCTATTACTACTAACTGGGTGGTGTTTGTCATTCCAGACTTTTCTCTATACCTATAATATACACCACATATTTTATCACATCTGTGCAAAAAGGCATCATACAATACGTATCATTGCATAGCTTTTGCGCTTAATAGACAATGTGAGTCCTTCAGCATGCTTAGATCTACCACATTCTTCTTAATGACTACATTGCATAAAACTGTATGGTTGGACTCATTCGTTTACCCCTTCCTTTACTGAGAGACAGCGAAGGTGCCCCCCATGTCTTGCTATGCAACAGTTCTCTGCATATATCTTATGACCTCATGCTTGAATTTTTGTACATTTAAAAGGAACTGCTAGTTCAAAACGATTTTGCATTTTGACAGATACCTCCAGAATGCTCTTTCAAAAGGTTTTATTGAATTAGATTTCCAGGGTCAGGGCCATGTGCTAGGAAGCAGAAAACAGAAACTTGCCAGGTAAATGCTTGATGGCCACTGTCTGTAGCAGGTTTTTAGAGCAGATCTTAGTGCCAGAGAGATCTTATACTTTCTGAAGTGCTTAAAGCATTCCAGAGGAGGAGTGAATTAAAATTAAAATTAAAAATAACAACACACATTTAAGTGCTTACTACAAAGTGAGGTTAAACAATCCACCTATGTCCCAAGGCTGTTGGTGGAGGAGCCAGGATTTGAGCCCCAAGTCTGGTGCATGACTCCTTGCCCTTCACCGTTTTCTAGACTGAAACTCTGAGCAACACTGACATTCACTGATGACCAAAGACTTGAGTAAACACTCATGGGTGGCCTTTCCCTTCAAAGAATGCTAGTCTGAAAAGCAGAAGGGAGAAATGAGTGCATGAGAGTTTCCAGAAAATGGGGAACCCAAGGGGCTTCCAAAGAAATTGTTCACCCTTGCTCAATACCGAAGATCATGGAAAGTTCCAAGTGAAAAGCCTCTTTCCTGCATGACTGAGTGTGTCAGGCAGACCCTCTGAGGTCTAATTGAAAGCCTCAGCCCTAGTCTTCCATACCTTCTCGATTCTACCTTTCATCTATTTATTTATTTTTAATGAAGAAACTATGTTTTTTAAGACAGTTTTAGATTTACAGAGAAGTTGAGCAGATACTACCTAGAGTTTCCATCTCCCCCGCACCCTCTGAGAGCCCCTCCACCAGCAACCAATTTCCCCTATGACTAACATCTTAAACATTAGTATAGTGCATTTGCAACAACTAATGAGCCAATATTGATACCTTATTGTTAACTGAAGTCCACAGTTTATTCAGATTTCCTTAGTTTTCGCCTAATGTCCTTTTCCTGTTTTAAGATGGTGCATTATGTTTAGTTGTCATGTCTCCTTAGGCTCCTCTTGGCTGTGACATTTTCTTAGACTTCCCTTGTTTATGAGGATCTTTAAAGATACTAGTCAGGCATATTGTAGGACGCCCCTCTATGGGAATTTTTCTGCCGTTTTTTCCTCATGATTAGACTGGGGTTATGAGTTTTGAGGAGGAAGATCACAGAGGTAACATGCTATTTTTATCATATCTTATCAAGGGTACATACTATCAACATAATTTATGACTGTTGGCATTGACCTTGATCAGCCGGTGGAAGTGTTTGTCAGGTTCTCCTCTGTAAAGTTACCCTTCAATCTCCACTCCCCTTTCCATACTGTGCTCTTTGGAAGGAAGTCACTACAAACAGGCCGTGTTTAAGAAAGGAGGAATTATTCTCTCTCCCTTCAAGAGGCAGGAGTTCTTGCTGAGAGCACTAGGATAGCCCCAGCAGCAGTCAGGTTGTTCCTGGCATAAAGCATTCTCTCTGCTACCCTCCTGCTAAGTGCATGAGCACCCTGTCTCTGCCCCCTCCAGCCTAGACAATCCAAAGTTTCAGATTTCTAGAAACCAGCTCCATGTTGCCTAGTCACTTTGGGTCCAGTGTCTTTTTTCAAAGCCAAGTTTTCCTTCACCTTTTACTTCCAGATGATGCTAATAAAGTCCTGACCAAAAAGTATCCAAATGTGGCTCAGGATGCCAAAAAGTAACCACCATCTTTTTTTTTTTTTTTTCGGTTTGTGGATCATTGGTTGAGCTCTATCTTATGACCTGACAGAATTCCCCGTATCTTTGTTCAAAACCAACCCACTCCACATCCACCCACCCCCGCCTTAAATGGTGTCTCAGAATCCTAGATCCCAGAATCCTAAGGGAATTCTGAAGTGAGGAAATTCCCCTCTCTCTCTGATGCATAAATACCCTTTTCTACCCCTTACAGTTTCTCAGGGATAGCCTTTCCTCCTTCCTGACATGTTCTAGAATTAAGTTCCCTGCTCACATTTTCAAAGGGAGAAAAGATGACACAGAATGTGTTTACTGCCCCAGAAGGAGGAGTGTTCATTGTGTGCCAAATTTTAATATTGGTAATTAAGTTTTGCATACCTCAAATTCTCCCTTGTTTCCATTTCATTGATGCTATTGTAAAGATTAATTAATGTTTTGGAAGTGTTTTGAAGATGAAAAGTCTTACATGCATACAAAGTATGGTGATTTGTTATTACAAGTAGTGGTATGGGGCCACTTTCTTCCCTCACTTTAGGGATTATGGGAGGGTTTCGGCAGACAATTCAAAGCTGCAGTGTCTTTCTTACAAAATGGCTGCCTTTCATCAAAAACTTATTCTATAGCAGTGAACAACAGAGTCTTTCCCTCCTACTGGGGGAAGCCGACCCCAAACAAATCAACAATAACATATTGTGCATCAGATGGGATATTCATTTCCAAGGATTGCTGTAACAAAATACCACAACTACATGGCTTGCAACAACAGAAATTTATTGTCTGACTACCCTGGAGGCCAGAAGTCCAAGACCAAGATGTTGGCGAGGTTTATTCTATCAGACAGATGCATATAACACCCAGTGCTCCATACAATACATGCCCTCCTTAATCATGGAACATTACATCAAAAACTAATGATGTACTGTATGGCAACTACATAACATAATTTAAAAAATTATAAAAAAGAACAGATGCAGCCTTGGAGCAAAGCACACAGTTCAATGAGTAGAGCTCATTTCAGCTCCCGTTCACCTACTCAGCTGGGTGCTCCAGGTAGGAGATTATTGCAGAAGAGGAGGTAAGGAATGGTTGGATTCTGAATCTATTTTCAAAGTAGAGCCACCAGGCTATGCTGATAGATTAAATATGATGTGTGGGAGAGAAAGGAATTGAAGATACCTTCCAGGTTTTAGGTCTGAGAAACAAGAATGAAGTAGGCAGTCTGGAAACAGAAGTCTGGGGAGGAGTGAGTTTGTCTAGAGACCCCTGTCTCATGGTGGGTCAGGGGAAGAGGAGGATGTACTACATGCTTTTCAAGATTTCTTCCAACAATGGAGAATCCACCCAGGTGGAAACAGAAGCTGTGGTAGCCAAAAAAGATTGGCCTCCATTGCTTGTTAAGAATTCTACTTGAGAGCCACATACATGGTTTACTAAGAAAGTAGTATTCCATTTTCCAACAAGTATTCTGTGATCTAGATCTGACTTTTTGCAAAACCAGAGGGGCGGGGACAGGGGGGCCTTGAACTCTCCTCCTACCATGTTCTCATTCTTTACTTTGGTAGGTGAGGAATCTTCCCTCCATGTAGCCTTATGGCCCATGGGCAGACAAACCCAGAGCAAGGCCTAAGTGTCGGCTTCACCTTCTCCCTACACCAATCAGCTGGCACCCAAGGATGGAGGGAGGATTTCACTAATTTTGTTTGTGCCTTGATTTTGGTTGTCAAACAGAACGGCCTGCATGTTAAAACCCGCAAAAACAACAGGATTCATATAGCTGAAATACATGTACCTTCCTTTCATTAATAAATTTTAGAGAGCCAAAACCTGCAAGTTGCCTATCCCAATATCTATTTTCCTTAGTAAAGATTCCCTTAGACACATGACTGCCTGGAAGAAAGACTGTACCTCCCAGACTCCCTTATAGCTTGGCATCCC